TACATACGTATATACATACGTACATACGTATATACATACGTATATACGTATATATATATACGTATATACGTATATACATACGTATATACGTATATATATATATAAAATATATATATATATATATATAAAATCAGTGGATTTGGACCTGTACACAACAAAAGGCATTCGACCAGCTGAAAAATTGTCTCACATCACCTCAAGTGCTGGACACTCAATGACAACAACAAAAAGCTGAAACTGTCAGCGGATGCATCATCATAGAATTGGTACAGTCCTCCTACAAAAGGAGGGAGACGGAGCAGAGTTATGCACAGCTGAAGGATAAGGTGTTAGGATTGACATGGAGGTGCGAGCAGTTCAGAAACTTCCTCATCGCAATAAATTTCTGGACTGCAAGCCACTTGTTACTTTGTTAGTTTACCAGGCAAATATCAAGCTTCCTCCCAGGATCCAGTGGTTTTGACTCAGCCTCATGCAGTACAGCTACTCCATTTTCTATACCTAGATAAAACCCTGCTTACTGTAGGCACTCCCTCGTGGGCACCTGTTGAGTTTTATTTAATGGAAGAATCCTAATCTGCTTAAATTAGATAATGAATAGCCTGCCTGCCAGTTCAACACAACAAGCAAAACTTGGAGAAAGGCTGAAAGGGGACAGTGTTTGAGGCCATCTTCATTTTACCTGAGAGGATGGCCTAATCAAGCAGACTGGCTGAGCTGTACTCACTGTGTATGGTGAATTGCAAATATGCGCAACTTTGTATTACATGAGGGAAATCCGGGGATGATAAGGTGTAGAAAGCAAGCCAAGGAAACAGTAGGGTGGCCCAGACTGAGAAGCCAACTGAATGAACTGGGGAAAAAATGTTTAATGATACCGATACTGATATTGGTCCAATACTGACTCAAATAGCTGGATCCGGTATTGGTGACAATGGGTTGATCTGGTATTGGATACCATTATTTAATAAATAACAATTCAGTAAACTTAAATCTTTGTATTTATTTGTTACATTTTGTTTTACAAAGTGAGGAGAGCTATGTTTAAGACAAGCCGCATGTTGCCTTACACATAAAATAATGATCCCAGTTTCTTCCACACAGTGAGGCATATAGCTAATAATAGCTAGTTTAACATGCGTATAGATCGGTACTTGGTATGGGCCGAATCCCAAAGCCCAGGTATTGGTATCAGGGCTGAAAGAGCCGGATCAGTGCACCCAAAAAAAACTCCAAAACATGTATCACAGTACATGCCAATCCTTTCAAGTCACCCTCAACACCTACTACTCGAGATTTGTGGAGGTTGCAAAACTGAGAACTTCTTCTGAAGACACAGCCTCTCAGAACTTTTACAGTGATAATTGACCACAGTTCCCAAGTCAACAGTTGGACTTTTGCAGGAGCCTATGGGTGCATGCCATAGACTGTATATAAAGGTGGACAACATGGCAGCTCTCCAAAAGTGAAGCCAAAACATCTTAATGCTCCCTTGTAGCTTGCTGTAGTGTAGTTTATAAACCCCGCCCCCTCCATGTTTGTGGATGAGACATGGACCAAACAAAAAAAATCAAAGTACACAAAATACATTTTTCCAAAACATGGTTTCTGTCAATTTAGGTAGTTCTCATCACCCTGATGAGTGTACAGTTTTCTGAGTAGTGGATTAATAAGTCGTATGAATAAGGAGGTGGTTCGGGCGGATGTATGGGTGGGACCTCAATACCGTGGCTCCACTACCCAGTCACTACTGCGCAGACTCTGGTTCCAAATGACGTTAAAAGCACAAGATGGCAGGTCCCGTATCTGGGATATTTTGGCTTCACTGTACAGTGGGAGGAAGTGGGGACGCGTTGTCCCTCGATACAATCTATGATTCAGATGCATCACAAGTAGCCCTCGGTTTGCTCAAAGCAATGGAGAAGCAGAGCGCCATGTCCAGACTGTGAAACGGCTGCTAAAGAAAGCGCTAGACCCATATCTTGCTCTGTTCGCTATACTCCATTGTCTAATGGCTATAGTCCTGCTAAACCTTTCCAGCATCCATACCTGCTCACTCTAGAAATTGCTGACAGTTTAGTCAGTTTACTTTGTGGATTTGTTAATAAAGATTAATTTGTACATGACCAAATAAAAGGGTTGCCTAACCTCCAAACTTAAACCAACACTTGCTGTCACATTCAAACAGGCCCTTTAATACACACAATAATACCACACGACATCAGAGTTATTCATTTTCTGATGCCGTTAAAGGTAATCCAGGGATTTTTGCTGCTGGAAAATAAGCCTATAGATATTAAAATAAAGATCCTTTTGTTAAGACAAAAAAAGAGTTCCATGGATATAGTACTATACTGTATATACTGTATATGCATGACATGTATACTACCATTTGTACCTTCGTATCCTGATGTTCTTACAGTATGACTCCTTTCATAACCTCACCTCCATAAGGCCCCCTTCATACAGTATATGTAACAAGAGGTGATCCTTGGTCAGATCGTGTATTTTACCAGCAATACATGACCATAGTGGTGGGCTGTCAGGGCCAGCAAGGCCTTCTCTGCTGGCCTGAACATAATCACAAAGTTATAGCTATTTTATAATTTAATCATTTATTTCACAAATACACTACATGTATTCTAATTATTTTTTCCATTATCTTATTTTCTCATTGCACAGCTACTGTCTTCCTCAGTTGCTCTGCTTCCAGCACAGCTTGTTTTGAGTAGAGCTTTTATCCAATCAGATTTCACCTCTGTGTCTCTAGGTAAGAAGAGAGGCCCGAGGCCCGCCGTTCCAGTTTAAGTAAATGGAGACGATATTGTTGATTGTCATAGTCTTCAACCAATCAGATCTTTAGTTTGACATGTTGGGCGTATTCTTTGACGTGCCAGAGCTACCGAGGTACTCCCACAAGTATGTCCGTATTAACGTGCAGCTCAGCATTAACGTCCGGCGGGATTGGTCAGTGGGCTAGCGTGACCGTTGTGACGCTGAAGCAGCTAGCAGAATTAGTATTAGTAGTAACAGTTCAAGTTGAAAGATATGTAAGAAGTTATGACATTGTTAGCATTTTGCTTGGTGTAGATTCTTTTTTTTTTTTGACCTAGCTTTGTTTTTTTAACACTCAATGGCTGAAGGAGGAGAAACGGATTTGGGAGTTACTGGCAACGCCTTTCTGGACAAGGACATTTCCAGAAAAGCTGGACATTATAAGAAAGGGTCGGCCAACCCCACAGCTAGCAGCCCTGAACCAGCCAGGAAAATAATTTGTACGAACAGTGTTCCTGGCTAACAGCGTCGGGGAAGCGTTTTAGAATGCGTTTTATTTGCAACTGAGCGTCTTGGTATTTGGAGCTGTTTGGAGCTACGCTAACCTGAAGTGGCTAACCAAATCAGCAACACGACACCAAAAACTTTTGGAGAGACCCGAGTGGATCTACAACTCAACAAACACGTTCGCAGGAGGACCTCTGGCTGAAACTGAACCTCACCGATGTTCTGTACAACCACGGTAATAAATTCTTTGTAATCAAAGAAAGGAGGATGGACTTTGTCTTTAAGTGAACAGCAGCTTTGGTAAGTGAAGTGCGTTTGTGTTTTTACATCTGCAGTAGCGTTACTACTGTTAGATTTTCTATGGTGTTTTTATGATATGGTGAATATTGTTCCCTCTGATGTGAATAATATTTGAATGGCTCGTGCACTTCAGTGTGCGGCGGAATAAGTGTTTTAGCGCTGCAGCATTGCTGGATTGATTTGTCATGCTTTGTTGTCTTATAAATATATGTGACTAGTTCTTGTGAGTTTGTTAATTACATTGATTTTGACTATATGCATTGTCCGTTAATGATGAAGCATCCCGTCATGTCCGGGGTTAGGGTCGGACATTTGATTCTCTGTTTGGGCTGTTTTCTTTTACAAAGCAAGAATTATGGTCTGGAGAAATGGGGATTGTGTGGAGATTGCTTTATCCCTGTTTGAATCAGTAGGGAACAGCTGCCTAAACGCTGCGGGGAGAATTTGTAGCTTGTGTGTTGCCTCCCAGAACACACGCGCCACACGAGGGTGTGTTTTTGTTTTGTTTCCGGGGTCAGAGTGTGTGTCTCTTATGCTGGGTGGGTTGCCAGGTTGAGCGCAGTGGCTCCACCGAAAGAACATTATATTTCCCACAATTTAAGCTTCTGCATTTTCCAAATGCACTAGTATTATTCAAACGTATTGTTCGTTTCGTAATCCTTGTACTGAACGGTTTAATATGAATACGTGTATTGTTACACCACTAGAAACAAATAATAACCGTAGCTGTGGTGTCATAATGAGGTTATTAGGAGGTGGTTCAACTGTAGTAGGACAGCACAGAAGGCCCAGGTATAAAATGCACGGCCCACCACTGCCATATATAGATAAAAGGAGAGTGTCTGCAGATGGGTTACCAAGACTATAAAAAGTGTGCCATGAGCCTTGGAATGGTCAAAGACACTGAACATTTGTTGTTCTACTTTCCCGCCTGAAACAGTAAGGTCTTGGGTTGTACTCAAACGGGTTCAGTGATCATTGTAATCAAAGAAAACCCTATACTATCACTAAAATGTTATTATACAGTATTTTAAATGGTTCAGAAGAAAGGGATGGACCTTTAATAACAAAACACAGATTGATTTAACCACAATTACGAGAGCAACTTGATGCTGATCTACCAGTCAAGTCAAGTCCATTTTTTGTTTTATAGCACCAAATCACAACAGAAGTCATCTCATGACATGTTTCATATAGGTCTGTACCCTACTCTAACCCCCTGTAAAATTAGTGCTGGGAGTGCTGCTGGTTATATATTCAGAGGACAGACTCGTTGCACTCACTTCTTGACAAGTGCATCCAGCTTGTCATCTTGTTTCTGCAGGAAGGCCAGGCATTTCTGCAGCACACAGCTGATGTAGTGCATCTTTATGGCAAGGATCTCATTCATGTCCTGCTGCTTCACACACTGCTCACACAGCATATCCATCACCTGGTAACACTTCTCCAGAGCTGCCACATCGACCAGCACAGGGTTCTCCTTCACCAGCATGACTATCTGACAGATTGGAGAGTAGGTTAGATAAACATTTCTGGACAGAAATAATGTCACTGATTGAGACATAAAGAAGAGAGTTCATCAGCAAATCACCAAAGTCATAAGAATTCATCCTCTGGGCACCCAGGGATATGTGTACAAAGTTATATGGCAATCCTTCTAATATATATCATTCTATTAGGCTAGATAGAATTTTATAAAAAAAATTTAAAAAAACAAAAAACTTAAATGTCAACCGCATGGTGGTGCAAGAGGAAAAGTCAGGGGATCCCCAGGGGGACCAGTTGGCTTTATCCTCTGAGGAACAGGAATTCTTATTGAGATATTGCCATCCATTGGTCACATGGACCTTAATGGAATTCAAAGAGCACTGGCCTATCTAAGCACCACTGTGAAAGTAATCTCTATTATTAGCAATACACCACAAACCACAATCCTTATTCAGTCCAAGGATGTAGTCAGTGGAGGGTGGTTGCAGGAAGAGTTGAGAAGTGCAGGGGTTAGTGGGTTGGTGGGAGGGGGCCTGTGTGTCGAAACTGTCAAAAACTTAACCCGCTCTGCAGCCACGGTACTTCTTCCTGATTTTGTACGGGATCTCCAGCTTCTTCCTGGGTACCTTAGCCGATCTTCCGGCAAGGAGTTTTTCCTTGGTGTAAACAAAGGAGCTTTTCCCTCCACAGCAGGCACTCTCATATCTCCCCAACAAAGTGAAGTGTCTCAAACACCAGTCTCTGGAATAGGTACAGCCTGTGTGTTCAGACTCTTTGCAGAGATAACAAAATTAGGAGAATGTGAATATATGACCAGAAACTTGATCATAGCTTATATGACAAAATGCAAGCTGAAAGATCAGTGCTGATTGTGTGTGCCCATGCTGCTTTACATAGGCACACACACTGAGACCACCACTATGAGCTGGTTTCATTCATTTAATTCTATATGATTTTATTCAGTGGGTGATATCATGTGTTTAGTATCTTTCAGCTGCTGAGGAGGCCCATCTTTCAACCATTAATGCTGAACACCATTAACGCTTTAGAAAGAAAGTTAGATTTTTTGGAAGGGGTAAAGTTTTGCTCCAGTGACGCTAGAACCCCTGGACAGAATACTATAAAACAAGGGGAAGCTCTTCTTTCTTCTCTTCAATGTCTTTTCTCCTATGTAGTTTTTGCTCTTCGCTCTTTAGTTTGATCCGTTACCTATAGCAGGTGGGCCTTCCACCGGATCTCAGCTGAATCCCCAAGCCGCACCGAACCTGTTCAAGTCCGGCTTCTAGTCAACTTTGAAAGAAAGAAACTGTCACGGGGCATGGAGGACTCAAGCGCAGACAGTCAGATGTAGTGAGAAAAAGGGTTTTAATGACTCACAAACACAACAGGGAATCCAAGGACGAGACAAGAGACGAGGGGGGAAATCAGGCAGGGCAGACAGACTGGGAAACCAGGAACAGGACGAGCAAAAACGGGCAGGTAGGTATGAACAATGACCTGGCAGTGAGTGACTGAGAGACAGGGGTTTATAAAGTGACTTGAACAGGTGAGGAGAGTTGTGCTGATGAGGGAGTGCTTGATTACTGATCAGGGACAGGTGAAGGGAGTTGGACTGGTGCTGAGGGAGTGGCTGACAGGTAAAGTGAGGAGCTACAGAAAAACACACAGAACACACGAGGCAAAGCCTGATCGTGATAGAAACTTTGAAAAAAGAAACTCTGAATTCAACCACCATCTTTTCAGGGGGGTGAAAAGATGTTAGCATCTTGCTAACTGTTGAGAGACACATATCGGCTCAAGTCGGGCTGCCAGTGGGACGGAGCACACACAAAAATGACCAATGACAAAAAGGACCTCCAGCAAAGAATCGACGGCCTCCTTCAGCACAATTTTTCCCTGGCCATCAAAACCGCAAAGGGATACTGGGGTTGATAATATAGACTACTAAGTAACCAAGACGGATCTCCCATCAAAATAGTAACGATACTGAATTGCTTCCCAATGTCTTAGCTGTTGAACAGTTCATTACTTCAATTGATTGTAATTATCTGAAAACTCATCTCATACTCATGGATTACTATAGTTCCTTTATACACGCTCTGTAAAGAAAGAAGTCAAGTATTGCATACATTATTAAGAAACAAAGGTTGAATATCCAGTAAATAATTTGATTTGGCTGCAAAATATTTACTCAAATGTAGATATTTATGACCTCCTGTTTCTAAAACATTTCAAATTGGCTATCTTTGAATAATCTCCAGATAAGTTAATAGTTATTTTATCAGTCAGCTCTTTGTAACAGTCATGTTTGAAAAGCTCTGATTGCGTACAATGCACGTGCTAAGTTACAAAAAAATTCAGAGGTGCACAACCAAAGGCTTCGGAGCTTTGGCGCACCATGCACAGGCCATGATTACGTCATTTTCGTGTTGGCGACCATAAACTACGCTTTAGTTCGATTTAAGCAACAAAACTACTTGTCTAGTTTAAGACAAAGATGTGATATACTTAGTTCGGTTTGGTAACAAACCTACTTGGTTAGGTTTAGGAAAAGATCATCGTTTGGGTTAAAATAACTACGGAAGTGCCGTTACTGAAGTACGCAAGTTGGGTGACAAAAGATTCAATGTTGACTTTTCATTTCACATTCAGGACGAACAGTGGTCTCCTGGCTGAAAGACCGGGGTTTGTTGGACACATCCACCTACTCAGCGTGGGCTTTTACGATCTTTATACTTCCTGAATCATAATTACGGGGATAACATACAAAATGATTTCATTGGATATCTACAAACTATTGACCATTTTGTTTGTGGGTATAGCTACGAATGATGGATGACAACAGTCTGAAAACAACCATAATGCAGTAAGAACATAATTCAGCATGTGCAAACCAACCACCCAAATGCTCATAGCATTGATATGTGTAGACCATGCTCATGAAGAACTTAAGTCTGTTTAGATATCTGGTTCACACTATTCAGAATAAGCATGTAAAGCTGAAGGCAAAGAAATAGTTAATACTGTCTAATTGGCCAATCAGGTTACTAATAACAGAGGGCTTCTCACTCGGCAGTCTGCAGTCTTGCTGCTCTTGCTGTAGCAGCTTTAGCTCTCGGTTTCAACGTTGTTAGGCTGAAAAAACGGGCATGCAGGGTTTCGTCTGGAGATCTTGAAAGCCTAACTAGAAAAAGAAATTTCTGGACATATTTTGGACATATTTTTCAATGAAAACAGCTTCCTCCTGCGGCTGAAAACAGGGCCACTGTAGAGCTAAACGATTTACATATTTGCAGTTATTTGCATACCATTATTTGCGTTCAGGGTTCAGTATTAGTTATGGATGTTTAAGGTTCCCTCATGCTGAATCCTGATGATATTAGAGATCTCTTAACTCTTCATCTAGTGCCAGCTGCAGGTCAAACTTCTCACATATGCAATCACATGCCAGTGAACCTGTGAATAAGTGGGCAGGTTTTAGCTCATTAGCAGGCCTCACCTTGACCGGGTTTAGGTTGGTGGTCATGATGATCTTGTGCAAGGGTCCTGCCAGCCTGGGGGGTAGCCTGGGCTCTATCTCCAGCCCCTGTGGTCTTGTGTAATACTCCAGCCTCGCCCGCGAGAAGAAATTGTTTATCACTGTTACACAGTCATGCTGGCCTGGAAGGAGAATGTACAGGTTAAGATGTAACCACCGTCTCGGTCACTAGTTAACTGACAACACAGTCTAAGCCTGTCTCACCTACAAACGCTGCCATCTGAGCAGCAGTGCGACCCACAGAATTCACCAAGTTTTTCTCTGCTCCGGCATCCAGCAACATGGAGGCGATGTCTGTCTTCCCTGGAGGAGGTGGATCAGAGATTTTCATTTTAGAAATACAACACTACATTGCATCAGCAATTATTTTTCTAGACTAAAATGACAATGAATGTTAGTCTATTTAACTAGAATTAGATTTTTGAGAACTTCAAGGGAACCGTACAACAAACGCTGGAAAACTGAGTGACAGTTATACCTGACAGGCCAGCAAACATGAGAGCAGTGTATCCATATTCATGCTGGTTGCAGTTGACATCGGCCCCATACTGCAGCAGCAGATGACACATATCGGCCTGGCCCTTATACGCTGCATGCATCAGTGGAGTCATACCATACTTAAGAAACAAATGAGAAAGACAACATTACATGAGGAGTTAGCTAATTTCATGCTGATGAACCTGGAAAAAGAAGCATGCCAGGCATTTACTTAAAGCAGCATCAGCTGATTTGTTTGATCACTTGTAGGGCAACAAGCTGAAACACATTGTTAACATTTACATTACAGAGTTGGTAATTAGTGTGTAGGATTACGGGGTATCTAGTGGTGGGGTTACATATTGTAACCAGCTGAACACCCCTCACCTCACCCCTCCCTTCAGGTAACATGAAAACTCAAAATGCCACATTTATGACACTAACAGCAAACCTGCCACAGAATTCCTGCAACTGCTACAATGCCTCAACCTAACACAACACATTAACTTGGATTTGGTCTGCTCCACTGGTCTTACAATACATCAACTCCACTGCCTTAACTTCAACATCTCTGACCAGCTGGCAGTCACTATGGACATTGACAACCTTAATGGTAAATGGTAAATGGACTGTACTTGTGTAGTTCTTTTCTAGTCTTCCGTCCACCCAAAGTGCTTTCACACTACTTGTCATCATTCCCCCATTCACACACTGATGACAGGGGCTAGGTGCCACCTGCCTATCAGACTAACTCGTTCACACACCGTAGGCACAGCTACGGGAGCAATTTTGGGGTGAAGTGCTCAAAGACACGTCGACATGCAACTAGCGGAGCCAGTGGATCTAACCGCAGATCCTCTGATCGAAGGACAACCCTGCTCTCCACTTAGCCACAGTCGCCCATGAAACCCTATCTTCATCCTAAAAGAAAAAAATGCAAAATCTCTCACAGAAATCTCAAATCTATCTCCCCTCAGCTCTCCCGTGCCAGTCAAATTTCTGCCTCCCCGGGCTTGTCCGATTATTCCTCCGATCTTGTCAACTATTAATATGACTCTCTCTTCTTGGGTCTTAACTAACTACCATTAAAACCCAAACTTTCTCACTCACACACTCAGCTCCTGGGTATACTCCTGAACAAATGAAATCCTGTAAGTGACAGCCTGAAAGACTCCAAGACAACTGGTTAAACAGTGCATGTCCAAGATCGGAGATCGACAGGCGGATCGGTGCAGCTGCAGCAGTAAAGCAGGCGCTGCACCGGACCGTCTTGGTGAAGAGGGAGCTGAGCCGGAAGGCAAAGCTCTCAATTTACCACTCGGTCTACGTTCCTACCCTCACCTATGGTCATGAACTCTGGGTCGTGACCGAAAGGACAAGGTCGCGGCTACAAGCGGCCGAAATGAGCTTCCTCCGTAGGGTGGCCGGGCTCAGCCTTAGAGATAGGGTAAGGAGCTCGGTCATCAGGAGGGAGCTTGGAGTCGAGCCCCTACTCCTTCGCGTCGAAAGGAGTCAGCTGAGGTGGTTCGGGCATCTAATTAGGATGCCTCCTGGACGCCTCCCACTGGAGGTTTTCCAGGCACGTCCAACTGGGAAGAGACCCCGGGGAAGACCCAGAACACGCTGGAGGGATTACATCTCCCAGCTGGCCTGGGAACGCCTCGGGATCCCCCAGAATGAGCTGGAACATGTTGCCGGTGAGAGGGAAGTCTGGGTCAGCCTGCTTGGCCTGCTGCCACCGCGACCCCGACCCCGGATAAGCGGAGGAAAATGGATGGATGGATGTCCAAGCCTTCACAGACTACCTTCAACAAAACAGTCATTACAGCCCAGTTCACCAACTTCCTATACCTTATACACACGCTCTCTTTTCCATAATAAACAAACTTCTTAAACCCAGTGACAAGTGCAACTCTTTCTTTCATTCTTCCAAACAAAAACCAACACCATTTACAGTAACCTGGCCATCTTCCCATCCAATCTTGCTAAGGACTGTCTCCCAGCTATTTCCTCACTCATCACAGATATAATCATCTCCTCCTTCAGCTTTGGTTCAGACCCCCAAACACTCAATTGGCTGCTGTCAGCTCATCCTCAAACAACCTGGACTCAAGCCTGACATTATAAGCAATTTCTGGCCCATCTCAAATCTCTCCCGTCTGTCAAAAATACTGGAACGGGTTTTTGCCTCCCAACTCAAAGCCCAACTCGTCTCCAACGCCTTGTTCGAGGCATTTCAATCCACTTTCTATTTACAGCAGAGCACAGAACAACAACACCCTCCTCCTCTTCTCTGACTGTCCACCTCAGCATTCTCATCCTCCTCGACTTCACGGTAGCTTTTGACAACATCAACCACACCCCTCTCTCCCGCCTTGAATCCTCCCTCCACTTCACCAGGACTGCCCTCTCCTGGCGAAAGTCACATCTCACACAGACAACAATTCATAAACATCAACAAATGCTCCTCATTTTCCAACCCTCTGTCCCCAGGCATTCCACAGGGTGCAGTGCTTGGTCCTCTAGGGCGAAGGTTTGGTTTCAACATTTGTTGGGACACATATTAGGTATGGGGTCTGGGTGTCCTCCTCCAGAACATTTTGAGTGTAAAAACACTTAATTTCCTGTATTCTGTTGATTTTTTTCTGGAAATGTCTTTATTGATGTAAAGGAAAACACAAAAGTAATGCCCCTGGTGGCAATTCAAAATATAAAAATATAATGCTGTAAGGCTCTCAGGCATTCTGTATTGCTTTCAAATATCTATTATACTTTTCTTTAATTGTTATCTCTACTTTTATTGTCTTTAACCTCGTTAAATATGCATGTGGCACCTATTCACCTCAATGAAACATTCATTCATTTTAATTAATTTATAAATTCCTGGAATTCAAAAGCTCATTTGTGTTTCAGATTTCAGCTCATGGTCAAAACCTTCTGCACATTCAAAAAATTTCCCAAAAAATCCCAAGATGTAAATGATATTACAATATATTTATATTTCATAATATTTAAATATTTAAATTATTAGGGAAATAATTGTGTTCCAGCAGCAGGTTACCAGCAACAGTAAATACACAGCAAGTAGAAATAAACTCCAGTACATCAAGAACCCTTTTTTCCTGCTCCCGTGATCACATCACCCCCGTCCCTGTCCCACAAAGGATCCAAGTCCTTCCCCTCACTCACAAAGCCCTCCATGAACAGGCCTCCTCCTACCTCACTGACCTTCTCCACTGCCACACTCCTGCCTCTGCTCCTCTGATGCCAACATTCTGTCTCCACCACACAGGACCGAGTACCAGACCTGGGGAAAATGAGCCTTCTCCAGAGCTGCCCCATCCCTCTGGAACTCTCTCCCCAAACACATCCGAGATCAACCAGTCCATGTTTAAATCACAAATCAAAACTCAACTTTTCAGAACTGCTTTTATTGTGTAATTCGTGTAATTCGTAATTTGTGTTGTTTATTTGTTTTATCATTTAATTTATCAAAACATAGTAGTGCTGGAAAGTTTAGAATTGTAGTATGCGTGGAAACAATGACATGGTCCTTAGAGGTTTGCAAGACAGCCCAGCAGGCAAATGTAGAAACTTTGGATGTAGTATTAAATATACAAATTCCCTGTGTATGCCTTATATCACAGACAGAAAACACTTGAAACAAAAGGTAACTGTGTGGGCAGTGATGTGAAGCTCTGTCACCACATCTGATTCTGACAGACGGCACTCTGAAGGAGTCTGTGAGCTACATGTAGTGGCGTGATGCTATTATCAAATACCTTTGAGGGCTGTGTCTGCCTCTCAAGAGTCAACTCCATATGTCTCCATCACAATGGATAACATATGTTACAGTGACATAACTGTTGCATTGTGGGTGGTCAGGAGGGGGGACGTAGTCATTTATATTACCATCATTTTGTAAGACACATCTTGAAACATGAGTCTCCTGTAATGTTGTATCATTTTGAGCACCACAAACCAGTTGCCATTGAGCACTACTGTATCACCATATTACATTAAAATAAATATATTTTTTAAAAAGAGTTGTGGCAGTTTCTCAACCTTGGATCTGTTGCCCCACACAGGGTCACTTGATAAGGGTCCAGTAGGATTTGTAATACTTACACTACTGTATATGTTGTTAACAAATGGCTTTTCATTATATCCATATAGGAGATTATGCTAAACAAATTATACACAAATGCAAATTTACAGGACAACCCTTGCTAGGAGTGACAATTCTGTGATGCAAGTTAAGGTCACAGTGAAGAAAGCCCGTCATGTTAGAGGGAGAAATATGCTCTATTGATGTTTTGGGTAGACTGGTCCTTTCAATATGAAGATCAATCTGACTAAATCTGTTTTACATAAATACATCTATTAGTGGAGGCTGAAAGTTCAATTTTAACAATAGCTTGACAAAACAAATCTGCTTTTTTTTTTTTTTTTACTTTGAAAGCTCCAGAAAAAGTTATTGAATTGTTGTTTTTGTTCAAACACAAATGACTGTTTATGAATTACTTTAGCTGCTAACATTAAAACAATTTTCCCTTTCTATACTCATACCTCATCCAAAAAGTTGACTCGTACATCTTTGCTAGCAAGCAGCTGGGAAGCTTCCTGTTCATCACCTGTAGACCAAAAGGCATCACTGTAAAAACATAGCTGGTGGAGACGTTTGAGGTGTGGACATTAGAGCAACAACAACAGCAACAATAGAGGAGAGATTTCGCAAAAGATGAGTGTCAAAAACAAACATCAATACATTACAATACATTACACCATACAACATTACGACTGTTATCATATCATTAAATATATATATATATTGGTGCAAATTTTGAATTCTGAATTTTCATTGTTTCCTTACCAGAACTATATAATCTGGTAGGAAAACAACATTTTTCCATGAAAGAAAATTAATTAGTTATTCATTATCAGTGTCTAATTTCCTTATGATTAGTGCCGAATTACATATTCATGTCCAGGACACTTTTTTTTTAATTTTCAAAAAGGACATCCCCATAAAATACAATAACAGTACCATGATTTTACACACCCAGTAATATCATTAAAATTATATGGTAAATATTGATTTGAATACAGTGCAATTTCAACGTTTGGACAATTTACTGTGCTACAAAATGATCTTAAGTGAGTGCCTAAAATGTTACTGTTAATGAATCAAATTAATCTACAAAATTTGTCATAAACAAAGTTTTCACAAGAAAAAATGTCAAAGGTTTATAATAAGTGAGAAGAACAGTGAGTGAATAAAGCTAGAAGTGTAATCTTATAACTGATAAATAACTTACTACTTACCAGCACTAATAACTTGCAGGATCTTCCTCTCAGATGCTGATAGATCTCCTTTCTGAGAAGCAGCCATCCTCTCTGATCAGCTCTGTTCTGTCTGAATGATCTGATCTCTTCTGTCCTGCTCTGCAGTTTGGTCCAGCTGACAGTTACAATCTACGGGTAGACTGAGAAACTGCTCGGACACAACAAAGAATGGATCCATCCCTGGAACGTACCACTATACCAAACCAAGGGAGAGACACCTGTTGTCTGCAGTATAAACATGCTCAAAGGAATATATATTGTATTGATTTCATCTATACATAAAGTTTGGCTCTGACTAACTCTGACTACTGAATGTGTTAAATGTGTCATTCAGTCCAGACTCACATGTACTAAGTCATTAAGCCTAGCTACATTTACAGAATCAAGTATGACAAGCTGCAGCTTCCGTGAAAGCACCTGACATGTTTCCATCGTCCACACAAACATTCTGAATCTATGAGATTTCTATAATCATGTATGGGAGGCTAATCTCAGTACAGACCCACACACTGCCTTTGGGGTTCATCTTTCTCCAATTAGTTATACCATTACTGTCACACATAGGTTGTTAGCATCAGTAATTGTTTTCATACAAAGTAAGGATGGTCAGTGGAGCTGAGGCAGCCTGGGTGATGCAGCAGAGCAGACAGCTACCAGATAGCAATCTGGTAAGACACCCATCTGTCATTTAAAGCGGCCACGCCTTCAATAATGTCTAACTGTTGGCCTTGATATATTTCAGATGGGTGAGCATTTTCAAAACATTCATTGACAACTTATTTCAATTTGATTTGTTGCTCATGACAACTCTGCCATGTGACATGTTTGTTGTTGCTTAAAACTTACCACATTTTCCACCCTGACCACCTCCCTTCACTCCAGCCCCTGAACCTAATTCTGGCAGCAATTGTGTTTCCTTCATAACACATTTGTGAAAAAAGCATCATGTTCAGGAGCAGGTGGTTTCTTCCAGCCCACTCGACGAGATCAACCACCAGTGCTCTCTTCATCACTTACACACCTACATGACTCAGAAATGTACTGAAAGTCTGTGGTGTACAAGGTGAAAAGAAAGGGAGACAGCATCGTCCCCTGTGGAGCTCCAGTACTTAAGACTGAACACTGCAGTCCGACAAGTAAAAATAAATTAATAGATATTAGTTCCTCACATTCTTGCCCTATACCACAACACTCTGTCTGTGTGTGTGTGTGTGTATGTGTGTGTGTGTGTGTGTGTGTGTGTGTGTGTGTGTGTGTGTGCGCGCACACTGAGAAGAGTCTTGGTATAATGCAGAAACGACCATGTTCTCGGGTTGTTGATGAATCATAAATGAACTGTGAGAGTAACATGAGACAGCAGGAATCACATGCATCACCAAACAAATAAGGCACCTCCTCACAGCGTTTAATGCTCACTGACTGACTGCAGATCCCTGGGCCTTCCATGCTAATTCTACTGATCCAGACTCTTTGGGGAAGATCTTCAGAGGAAATAACAGTACTTCTGTGTAGCCAATCAGCAGCCTGGATACTCTGGATCTCGATACCACTGAGTCACATGCTGAACAGGTGTCAAGTTAAAATAAGTCACCACAGTAACACTGGGATTTTATGTAATTTTGTCTTCAAAATAAGAGCATGAAAATAACATGAATTCACCGAAGCCTAAAGCCCCTGCTTTTTATACATCATTTATGCCAGTAATTTACTGAAGACGGATACTTAATACGATTTTTAAAATTTAAATAATGAGCTATATTGTTCAAACCTCAGAAATCATTGGTAGTAAACACATTCCGCCAGCATGAAGAAAATAATCTGCTCTATGTCTCTTTATGAATTTTGACTTTTTAAATCAAATCTCTTTCTTGCTATAACAAGACACTGTCCAAGCATCCACAATGATGATGACTTCTGTACAGCCCACATTATCATCTACTGGGCTGAACAGCATATCCCCATGATCTCATCAAATGGATCATGAGACATAAGCAAGTCTGGTAGACAAGTTATTGTCTGCAATATCTTTTCTACAGGTTATAATAGCATATTTAAGCTTCTTGTCATAACAACATACTCTCATATCTTTTTTTAGTGGCATATTTACTGGAATCAGATCAATAGATATGCCATAATAATGAGAAACACTTTCCTTTGTAAAGACATAAGTTATTATGTCACATTGGACCTTTTTTCTTATTGTGTTAACTATCCATTTATATTTTCTGCAAGTTGATATCTAAATGGAGAAGTTCTTTCAGGGATATTCCATGGGGAACCATTGACCTCTTATAAGCCCAATTAACTCAAATCTAAAACTATGTGTAGGAACTAATCCTACCTGACAGGTCAATCCTAGCAGATGACATGGAGGGGTGCTGATTACAGGGGTTCCACAAGATTCAGTTCTGGGCCCCCTTCTCTTCTCGCTCTACACAACATCTCTGGCTTCTGTTATTCGCTCGCATTACTTCTCTTACCATTGTTATGCCGATGACACCCAGCTGGTCTTGTCATTTCCCCCCGGTGACACTCAAGTGGAGGCACGCATCGCTGCGTGCTTGGCTGACATCTCGAAGTGGATGACGACACACCACCTGAAGCTCAACCTGGACAAAACAGAGCCACTGTTCCTCCTGGTGAAGGGTTGCCCGCACCGAGACCTGTCCATCACCATTGACGATACCATGGTGACGCCAACTCGGACTGCGAGGAACCTGGGTGTGACCCTGGATGACCAACTGTTGTTCTCTGCAAACATTGCATCGGTTACATGCTCCTGCAGATTCCTGCTCTACAACATCAGGAGGATTCGCCCCTTCCTCACTGACGAGACGGCGCAGGTGCTAACCCAATCTCTTGCCATCTCCCACCAGGACTACTGCAACTCACTACTTGCCGGAGCCCGGCCATCAGACCTCTGGAGCTTGTCCAGAAAGCTGCAGCTCACCTGGTGTTCAATCGCCCCAAGTTCTCCCACACAACTTCCCTTCTCCGTTCTCTACACTGGCTCCCTGTAACATCTCGCATCCAGTTTAAGACTCTGGTGCTAGCCTACAGGGCAGTGAAAGGAACAGCTCCTTCCTATCTCCAGGCCATGGTCAAGCCCTACCCCCCCGCCCGACCTCTTTGCTCTGCTGCCTCGGGGCGATTGGTTGACCTGTCGCTCAGAGGTCCTTGCGGCTGTTCGACCCGGTCACGGCTGTTTTCTGTCCTGGCCCCACAGTGGTGGAATGAACTCCCCACTGACGTCAGGACAGCAGAGTCGCTGCCCATCTTTCATCAGGCTGAAAACTCACCTCTTCAAGAAGTACTACCCTGAGCCTTCCACTCAGCACTTATTGCATTCGTATTAGTTTGTTGCACTTATTGTATTCGTATTAGTTTGTTTCTGCACTGTACCTTTGGTCTGGTTCAAGCTCTTAGATGCTTGTTTAAAAAAGGAGATGCACTTATGACTTCTGGTGACGAGTAGTTCTCTTGAATAACTATATTGAATACACTTATTGTAAGTCGCTTTGGATAAAAGCATCTGCTAAATGACTGTAATGTAATGTAATGTAAATGTAAACTAATGTCCACATAATTAGCACAAGCTTGAATATATTTCCATGAAACTTACTGCTATTTCAAAGCCTTCTCCGTACAAACAGTAATACAGGTCTTGTGGATAAACACTGACTCATTTATGCATTTATCTTTGTTGACCAAAGAAATAGTCAAATCAAAATGTACTGAGTCTAAAAGTAGAGGAATCTGCTTAAATTTACCACCATGTCTACATCTTCAACTGTAGAATGTGAACGCCCAGGCTGCTAAAGCTGCTAAAGCTGCATGTGTGCCATATCAGTTTACAATTATATGATAACAAATGATATGCACTTATTTTGAAGGCTTCATCTGTAACTTCCTCTGTAGTCTGGTTGTATTGTTTGGAGCTGACGCACCAAGCTCCGTTCTTTCCAGGTTCGACCTGCTGCAGAGCAACCGTCTATTCCTGCGGGCTTGTGTTTGTCTGGATCTGATCTCTGGAGCTGAAACATTTGTTTAAATTGGTTGATTTATTGACCAAGATGGGCTGCGCTGGATTCACCTGCTCCAAACACTCCCTGTGCGCGCTCAACATCCTCTATGTTGTGAGTATCCGCAGCAGAATAGATACCATATGGATGAATATAGACTGTGTTTTTTTATATCCTGTAAACACAGCGGAGGAAACGTCCTTCTGTAATCAGTACACTGCTGATGCCAGACACCGGTCCACTTACTCTGGTACCAGGATCACATGCTCACTGTGTACGCCAGATAAAGCTATTGAGAGAATACACTACAAGTCCCGCTTTTAAAGCGCAATGTTATTTCCTTCCGTCACATTGTATGGCATACAGAGGACGTCCTGTCTTTGCTGATGGCTCTTATCATCGCTGCTTTCTCTATGAACTATAAGTGTGTGTGTGACCCCATCAGGTTCCAGCAGGGCTTCATCTCAGAGTCCAACAGACTCATGGTCCGAGTCCTACAGTCCTCTTATAAAAAGGGCCACAATGTGTTGTGTTGGTGTGGAGATTTGACAATAATCTGCTTTATTTGCCAAGTATGCATGCACACACAAGGAATTTGACTGATGATGTCATAATGATGGTGTCATCGGTTTTACCATTCTTTTTTAACTCTGATAGCGCCACGTTAAAGGACGAATTCACATTTTTTACACTGAAAGCAATAAGTACATGCTCATATATACAGTACACTCAAAAAGTTATTGACTGCTGTAGTTATTCCTCCTGTCCATCCTGGCCGTGAACAGATCCCCTCTCAATGCGATTTCAATGCAAATGAAGGGACTGTGGTTGGCTACAGTATCCGCTGCTGACTATCACTGTGGTGAGCCACAGGGGGGCCCCCAGGGGACGGTCCTCAGACTTCACATTCAAGTCCAAGTCCTGCCACCTGCAAATTCTATGACCACAGTCGCAGGGGGCAGGACCCCTCTTGTTTCTGTACTTTTAACTTAAATGCTGGACTTTTACATTAAGTGAGGTTTTTGACATTTTAGTATTGCTACTTTAATTTAGTAAACAATCTGAATATGTTTTCCTCTACTGTAATGCTTTGAGATAGCAGATATGTCTTCCACTATGTGAACACTATGTATATACAGCTTGCTGTGTGAGGTCAATGTCCACATACATCACAGGAGTTCATATAGGATATGAAGCTAATCCAGGTATTTGTCTGCCTGGCAGGGTTCCATCCTTACAGGATTTTTTTAAATTAAAAACGGCCTGCATCTAATATTTTCATTTGATATCGAAATGAACTTAGAATTATTGTTTCATATTTCACAAATCCTACGAAACTATTTCATACAAATATTGTAGCATTCACTCAGTCTGTGTGTCTGTCCTGCAGATGGTGAGCCTGCTGATGATCTGCATCGCAGCATGGGGGAAGTGGTTCGGTCTGGTCTCCAGTTTCCAGGTGGTGGGAGGCATCATCGGTGTGGGCGTCTTCCTCTTCTTTGTAGCCCTGGCTGGCCTCATCGGGGCCATGAAGCATCACCAGGTCCTGCTCTTCTTCGTATCCTTCACACTGCTCATGTTGTGGCTGATATAGGATGCTCATATATTATAGCTTTGACATCATTTATGATCTTACCAGCCAGGAAAATGTCCACAGCATGTGTGGTTGAACTGGATCAGTATTTAAAAAAATTCATCACTTAATTATACAGAAAGCACTGCTGCTACTCCTTCTGTGGGTTCATATACGTGTTTGCCTTCAGCTGTACAGATGATATCCCTGGTTGGAGCATGGCAGGGATCTCTGCTCTGAATAGCTGAGTTAGCTTGAATGGATTGCTGATGATTTGACACAAGCCTGCAGTTTTCAGTTCTTCAAAGCTGACTTCAGTGGAGCTGTTATCAGAGCAACAACCCCTTAAACGAATAGGTCAAGAGTTAGGAGTTAGGTGCTGGTTTATTCACATATAGCTTTAGCCTAATATGGCCACAACTCTATAATTTGTATATTTCAAAAGTGCACTGTAATCCAAGAGAACTTTATCCAGGTAAAACAACTCAATCTAATCTGGATGAGAGTTTACCGTGTTAGTAAAGCCACATTTTGAGAACGGGGACCACAAATATAAAACACATGTTTAACCCTCTAAATAGTGTGCATATTCACTGTAATTTTACCATCACTGAAAATGTCACAAATGTTAATACAAATCAATTCAACTATTTACCCGTTGTAGCAGTCGTTGCATATACAGTATGTTCAGTCAGTTGTGCACCTGCCATATTTCAGTGGCGGGCTGTGCATTTTATACCTGGGCCTTATGTGCTGTCCTACTGAGCTATGGTTATTTGTTGGTGTAATAATACACGTAGGCTATTCGTATTAAACCGTTTGGTTTCCTGATTTATGTTGTGAAACCTGAATAAATATATTTGAATATTTGAAGCACCAAATTCTTACATGAAGAGAGAGTGTAGAATACATATTCTACACTCATGTACATACGTGACCACGAGAGATATCCAGTATGAATCTGTGAGCAGTCTGGCTAAGGAAGCTGTTTTTAATCTACTACAGGATTCTCTCTTCATCTCAATGTTTGTAAAATTAATTTCCATCCATGTAAGCATGTGCAATACAGAGCATCGTATTTCCCACTCAGTCGTGCAGAGACAGAGCATACAGCTCTATTTCCAGCCTTACACAATCGTCTGTGGTAAATGCACTGGTTTAGTGACACTGGCTGTGAGCAGAATCCTTAACAGTGAATCTCAGTACATGGTTGTTCTGTTCATGGTGTTTATTGTGCAGTTCTCTGTTTCCAGTGCCTGCTTGGCCATCAACAGAGAGCAACAGGTAAGATGAAAGTCTTTCAGTAAGAAAAGCCATCCTATTTTCCTCTTGTTTGATTTGTATTGGTAACTGGCCACCTTGGTCCACTGTTTTGTACCAGAAATACAAATGTTTACACCTGCAGCAGCTTTAAGAGACTTCGGTGTAATGCAGCTATAAAAGTGTGTTCATACCGACCACTGAGGGGATTTTCACTTTACGTTGTTAACTGGACTGTATTCACTGTTCTTGTTGCCCTTTTGTTGTTCTGTTTGTGTATTGTAATAAATACTTGTAATATCATAAATCCTGTTGGTACGTTCTCAGATGTGAGATTTAAGGTGACAGCAGAGAAATTTTCCCTGAAAACATCCTTCTTGTGTCACAGACGTCATTGTGCACAGTGAAGCTCAAACATCCAAGTGAAGGAACAATAAGCAGCCTACTCATGCAGAGAGTTAAACTAGGACTTAAATACTTCAGACTTTTTATGGAAGGTATCTACACTGGGGAAATGAAGTGTGGTGTTCCTGTTTTACAGCACAGCTGCCAAGCAGAAAATATAATGATGCTGTTTTTTCTGGCACCGTAAATAGCCTGCCTGATACATTTACTGATATATACTGTATGATATTTACCAATATGCTATTTAAGAKTGCACWCTTAAATAGCATATTGGTAAATATCATACAGTATATATCAGTAAATGTATCAGGCAGGCTATTTACGGTAAATAGCATATTGGTAAATATCATACAGTATATATCAGTAAATGTATCAGGCAGGCTATTTACGGTGCCAGAAAAAACAGCATCAACAGCGAGAAAATATATCACAAATTACAAGAACAGGTAGTTTGACTTGGCCCATGACAGAGATGCATCAACATGGAGATGGACTTGTAGTGTACAGCGCTTTGAGTGGTCAGAAGACTAGAAAGGTGCGATGCATGTCATCGTTCACCCATTCACATACACATTCATACAGTGATGGCACGAAGACTGTGTTTACACGTTTACAGTTTACATGTCCAAGTGTTCTTACTGAACCCCAAATAGCTCCTGAAGGCTTTTCCATGTGTATCGCTCCTGATGGGCAGGTGGCACCTTGTATGGTAGTCTCTGCCACCAGTGTAAGAATGGGTGAATGCTGGCTTGAGTTGTAAAACGATTTGAGTGGTTTGAGAAAAGCACAATATTAATACAGTCTATTTACTGAATAATCCCAGTCACTGATTACTGCATATACTCACTATGTGACAGGCGCCTGTGATTTCTACAAAAACCAACCAACCTACTCTGAACATTTACTACCTTACCATACCATACGTTACCTTACCTTACCTTGCTTTACTGCTTTTTTCTTCTCTGGTCCAGTCGCCAACAGCTGTCTGTTCTGAGCTGTTCTGTCTTGACTCTCTCTCTCGACCACACACACACACACACTACAGTCTGAGCTATTCCTAAAAGCGGATATGCTACTCTTATAACACTGTCTTCCACTTTAACTTGAGTCAGCTTGTCACTGTCACTAGCACTACTGAGGACAGGGGAGCAGTGGATGAAGAGACACGTTATTTTTCATTACCAAAAAATAAGATTCAGGCTCTTCATCTCTGCCCCACAGCTTGTGTTAGCTGTTAAATCACAATAACCGGGACAAGGTGTATATATGTATCCAGTATCCCGGTTTCTTTCGGAGTACTCCAGCTAGCATATACGGGTTTCTCATAAATACAGATAAGGGCTGATGAAATCGTGATACAGTGATTATGTCTACACATGAACGGGATACTTAAAAAACCTGATCAAAAACAGGATATGTGTGTATGTGAACACACTCAATGACTACTACTACTACTACTGTTACTACTGATACTACTTCCACTAGTAATACTTTTGATACTACTATAATTCAGTAGTTTACACACAGCAGTAAAGAACAGTAAAGCGTGGTGTTGTCCTGTCTATGTGCTGTAGGATCGCCTGCTGGAGGTGGGCTGGAATAACTCTCAGAGCACTCAGAGGGATGTGGAGAAGAGCCTCAACTGCTGTGGCTTCAAACAGGTGGACCCCAACCTCACTTGTGACGCTGTGAGTTTGGATTAATGAAATGTTTCCAGGCCCCTGCTACATTTCAATTCAATTTATTTTTGTATAGCCCAAAATCCCAATTCAACCATTTGCTTTACAATTTCAGCATGTTAAAATTGTTGGTCAAATTCTATCGACGCCTCTAACCATGCTGTGGGAAGTATTTGCTTTGTATTTGTCTGAAGCAAGTTTTGTGTCTCCTGTTCTCCTGCAGGCTTGTTTCCCCAACCGCTCCTGTCTGCCCTGTGCAGATAAGATCCAGGAACATGCTGGGGAGGTTCTTCACTTCGTAGGAGGGATCGGACTCTTTTTCAGCTTTACTGAAGTGAGCTATCACAACTACAACACTGCTGAGTTGCTAGATGCTGTGCACAGTTTAATGATAAAAACGTATTTATAACTTATACAATATTTGTGCTGACGTACCCAGGCTGTCGCCACATTCAAACACACACACTGGTTACATTGCCACCAACAGTAAATGAGAAAAAGGGATACAGTCCTACCTTCATCGGAATTGTCGAGAGATTGTGGGTATCGAAAAGTGAAAGGAAAGGGGTGGTGCTGAGAAACTATGTGGGAGAAAACAGCACGCAGCCAAGTGCACTGAAATAACATATTATATGCAGGTGGGCAGTCAATATGCTCGTCAAAATGCTACATTCACCAACATAATTGAATGGTTACATCTTAAAGGAAGCAATATACGACAGTAAGAGCATTAATATCTCATCAAACAACTATAGTCTACAAAAATCTAGAGGAGTAATGTCTCCCTGATCAGAGAGTGAAGTCTCTCTCTCTCTCTCTCTGTGTGTATGTGGTTATCAGAGCTCCTCCTCTCTTTGTTCACATAGCCGGCCTATGTTAGTACATGTGAGCATGCCTTTTAGTGCACGTTAGTACATGTTAGTGCATGTGAGCATGCCTTTTAGTGCACGTTAGTACATGTTAGTACATGTGAACGTGCCCCACTGGGTAGCTCACGGCCGCCGCTCTGCACAGCTGATAACGCCCTCCAGACCGACAGCTTCATCGTGGAAACTTAGCACCCATCCTCCAGTTCTACCTCAACACCGTTAACTCTGTCAGCACTTTCCGTCTAGTTAGGACTTTTACCACCTTTAGCTACGAGCTGTAGTAGTAGTAGTAGTAGTAGTAGTATTAGTAGTATCAGTGGGAGTAGTTGTCGCATCAGCAGTTGTAAGAGCCAAATTCAATTTGCTGTAAAATATTTTTTTGCATTTACATGTTTAACTTTAATCAGACGCTACAGCAGTAGTAGGAGTAGTAGCAGTAGCATCTGTAATATACCTAGTAGAAGTAGTTGTATCAACAGTTGTTTTATTAACAGTAGTAGTAGTAGTTGTTGTTGTAGAAGTAGTTGTTTTAACAGTAACAATGTCATCAGTATTAGTAGTAGCATTAGTTGTACCAGCATTGATAGTAGTTGTTGTATTAGCAGCAGTAGTGTCAGTATCAGTAGTAGCAGTTGTTGTTCTAGCATCAGTAGTAGTAGTAGTATCAGTGGGAGTACCGGTTGTGAGTGCATCTCCCCAGCCCACCAATCAATCTCCACTCTGCAACCCAGCAACTCCAACATGTGGAGAAGCATCTAAGAGTGAGAGCAGAGAAGGAAGGAAGGCCAGAGAGATACAGTGATATGGTACAGCACATGAATGGGAAGAAAGTTTTCATAGGAGGGCAACAAGTGGTGAACACGAAGGACTGGAATTTCCATAATTCCCGAAGACCAAAAACCACAGAACCGAAGACCAAAAACCACAGAACCGAAGTACCATAAGCGCTAATCCGTAGTATTCAAAAAGGTTCCTCTGAAATAGGCTCACTAGCCAGCTAAATCGTCCTCAGACGCACAACGAAAGAGGCAACCCAACTACAACTCAGCTCACACCATTCAAGGCATGAGCTTGTGTGCTTATGTTTCCGAAGGTAACAGGCCAAACTAACAACTTGCCTTTCACCGCACAACGACGAACAGTTCACCACATCCCTCCTTTGCCTACCGACTTGCTTACCCAATGAACCATTCATAACTACAGCACACTGCAGCAGCAGTCTTCAGGTTAAACACCTGCAAGGTAACTGGGTCCAATGCCCAGGCACCCAACAGGCTGTGCAATGCTCATTACAGAGTCCAGAATTATCCAGAATATTATCATCATCACAAAAACCGGAATACAAAACATGCAGTTAGCAGGAAACACCAGAAAGTATTGTTTCCTCAGTAAAGCCCGGACCAGCATTCACTTCAAGCCTAAGAACAGCATCCACCTCAAACCTGAAACCCAACAGCGCTCCAATAACTCCGCCGAAGAATACATCTACATAAGCCATAATAGAGGAAACAAACTTCGACTGCCCGAACACAAAACCCAAACTGATCCATACAGAATTTAACAAACACACTAACAAGAGCAACCCATACACAGCTAACATCACTGCAGCTCCGTCCCTCTGACTGCCTAGCCAGAAACTAAGTAAGCTCTCCCCTAGTCTTCAGGTGCTACTTGTGGTGGGTACTTACGCACTAAAACCCGCAGGCCCGGTAAAGCAACCAGGAACTGGCAACCCACCTGCAGCCTCGGACGTGCCCCCGAGACAACTACTCCAACCACTTTCATCACCACACTATCAAACTTCCCCCAACGAACTCCAAAGGGAATCCGCTCTTCAACCTAACAGGAACAGAACAGCAGCAATTTACTCACACTGTATACAGGACCACCAAACTCTGTTCTATAAAAATCACCAGCATAACACATGCTCAGTGACACAAACACTCCTCAGGAACACTGATCACTATAGCTGCTCACAATAACCAAACACAGGAAAACAGACAACTCACTAAACTCGTCCATGTCTCCCAAACTACCAGACTGAACCTCTCATCACCAAACGAGGTGCACCTGCCTGGTAGGCTACTACTTTGGCGTGCAATTCGAAATACAAGGGGCAGCGAAACACAATGGACCCCCCTCACATTTTTGTGTACTTCTGACTTTATTGCGCGTTTGTTTGCAAACTATTCTCTGTACCCCAGCTTCATCTGTGCCCTGTGAAAGAGTGTTTTCTAAAGCAGGCGAAATAATGTAAAAAAAAAAAAGAAACCGCCTGAAGCCCAGCACTGTGGAAAAGTTATTTTTAAATAAAAATGAATAAAATGTTTTACGTGTTACATGTTGTCCCTAGTAACATAAGGACAGTCACAAACCAAGGAATACAGGCCCGTGAGAGAGGGTAGAGAGTGTTGTCCGGTAACCGCAAGGTCGGTGGTTCAAGGCTTGGCTGCTACATGTCCTGTGCCGAAGTGTACCTGAGCAAGACACTGAACCCCCCTAACTGCTCCCCGGGTGCTTCTCAGCAGCCCACTGCTCCGTATAAGCTAAGGATGGGTTAAATGCAGAAGTCAAATTTCGTATATATGTATATGACAAAATCCTAACTTTTTTTTAAACTTCTCACATCACAACCCTCTCCCCAATTTGTTTCCACTTTCCCTTTTGACCCCGCCATTGTATCATAATCACTCTGCCTGTTTTACATGTATTGTCCACTTGATGGCGCAGTAGAGCAGATGAAGCACCATGAAGCTTCGGCCCATGTGTGAACCAATTGGATGGAAAGCTTCAATGCTTCATGAAGCTTCATCTTGCCATCACTATAATAAATAGACATTTATTTAAAGAACAACTAACCAAACTAAACTAAACAAACAAACAATCAATCAATCAATCAAATAAAGCGGCAGCCGTGTCAGCCCAGGCGAGTCGGAGAGGAGAGGAGGGGCGAGAGCCCTGCCATGGTCAGGTGGTGGATCTTTATAACTGGCTACTTCCAGCAGGCTCAGGTGGGGCTCGTTAGCTGCCGATCAACATCCTGAAAGACAGAGTAGGCAGCAAACAGGATGCAGACCCCTAGTGGATGGGAGGGGTCGTCACAATGCCAATAATTTAGTTTTTCATATTTGCTGATAACTCAAGCACGCTCCTTTTGGTTCCCAACACTAGTAGATTAGTAGATACATTGATTGTGGGTTTGAAACTTAAACACATACATAAGCAGCTGTTTATGTATGTCTCACAGTATCTAACGGTTATTGTGTTTTTATTTCAGGTTCTGGGGGTGTGGCTCACATATCGCTACAGGAACCAGAAGGACCCCCGAGCAAACCCCAGTGCTTTCCTGTGAGACAGCATCAGCCCATCTGCACTGTCACCTCACCACCTCTATGGACCTTCTCTGGGCTTTAACTGTAGATACAACACTGTCCTGTGTGTTTCCACTGATTGTTGCAGTGATGCTCTTTTGACATGATGTGTTTGGTTTGTCAAGAGTGAGATGTGCTCTTAAAACAAGTGGTTGTGTGTGAAGGAACAGCACACATGTTGCCTCCAGTGTGACAGCTCTGCCTAAGAAAGTGTCTAAACATATGCAGTTAGTACACTGAGGAGTTGTGGGTGTAAAAGAGGCAATATTGTTCCAGCAGTCTGTTGTATATTCCAAAAGTATTCATGCAGCCTGCCTGATGTTGACCCTGAACACTGTTCTTTTCCCTTTGTTGCTGTTGTTTGTCTGCCTAACTGAATGCAATAATGTCAACTACTACTCTGCATATTGATATGACTACATTATTTTGACCATCTGTGAAGTATGGATATTGTGTGWGKGTGTGTGTGTGTGTGTGTGTGTGTGTGTGTGTGTGTGTGTGTGTGTGTGTGTGTAACTGGTCTACCAGTGTGTCTTGCTCCTGGCTGCGTGTGGTACTCTTTTGCAAATATGAGCTACTATGAGAGCTGTAATGATGTTTCTGTAAACAACCTGTTTGAGCCTTTGTACTGTACACCACAATAAGACACCGATGGATAAAAATACCTTTTTCCCTGGATATATGTCTTTTGCTATCAGTTGTGTTTTACAAGTGTCTAAAATGTTTGAATTTAATAGTGCAAAAAAATATTTTTGTCTGTTATTCAATCCTAAAGATCTTATTTTCTTTAAAAGAAAGAAGTGAAGAAATATGTCAGCACGGTAATATTATTTCAAGTTAAAATACAAGTTCCAGAAGGTTCTTATTGAACTGAGTCAGTATCTTGACAATTCAATCAGGAGACACAAGTAAGATGAAGGAAAGATACTTATAAACATTATCGTTATAAACAGTTGACGTGTGATGATAGTCTTGACATAGCCTTTGGTGCTTGGACTCTACAGGGAGATTTGTAATGGAGGGGCATCTTCCCTGAGCACCAGCAAGATAAACCCCCTGTGGAGTCCAGGCACTGGCTAAGGAGGATTATGAAGCTGATGGACTGCACATATATAGTGCTTTTCTAGTCTTTCGATCACTCAAAGCGCTATGAATGGGTGTGAATGTTAGTTAGTGCTGATGGTCAGGTGGCTCCTTGCATGGTAGCCCCTGTCATCAGTGTGTGAATGGGTGAATGATGACATGTAGCGTCCATAAATGGTTGACGCAAAGCACCTTATGAATGTTGATGCATAAACATGAGCCTGCTGATGTATGTGTAAAACAACGAGAAACGTATTGTAGAACCATAGACTGTATACGTAGAACAGAACGAGAAACGTATTGTAGAACCATAGACTATGCATAGAACAGAATGAGAAATGTATTGTAGAACCATAGACTATGCGTAGAACAGAAAGCATCAATCTTTTAATATCAACAATGGATCACAAAAAGGCCTAAGCTCCGTACAATTGCTGCTCAGCAGACCAGCTGGTGAACATTAAGCTCCAGTGCTAATGTTGCTCTGTGTCAGCTGGATGTTTGAACATGCCACTCCTTGCTAATGTGTGATGCTGTGTTCACACCAAACAATTCGCACTGCGTTTGGTGTGACCGCACTTTTAGAAGGTGATAATGTAACTTATGGTGTTTACTGCCCCCACGTGGCCAAAATAATGAAAAAGCTATTTTACCATTTTAGATCTCATTTACTGTCATGTAACGATATCTGCAAAAAAACACTATTTCTTCATATTTTCATATCAAAATCCAGTCATCTTTTCTGCCCCCTTTAAGCGGTCCAATCAAATGCGAAGGATTTTATGTAAATCCATCTTGGAGCTGTACACCTCTCAACTATTCTGTTTCACTGGGGGATACATCACAGGACAGACGATAAAGGGACTTTAGAAAGAAAGTGGGGTGATGAGGGGGTACTGTGGCTCAATGGTAGAGCAGGGTCGTCCTTCAATCAGAGGGTCAACGGTTTGATCCCCGGCTCCACTAGTCCATGTCGACGTGGCCTTGGGCAAGACACTTAACTGCAAATTGCTCCCGCAGGCTGTTCCCGCAGTGTATGAATGGGTATGACTGATTAGTTATTGATTGATTGGACTCCTTATGGGCAGTTGGTACCTTGCATGATAGCCCCTGCCATCAGAATATGAATGGGTGAATGATGACATGGAGTGTTAAAGTGCTTTAGTGGTCGGATGACTAGAAAAGCGCTATATAGAAAAGTACAGTCCTTTTCTTTTTATGTAGACACTTGGAGGGTGATGATAAGGATGAATGGTACAGTATTTTACAAGTTAGAAGGTCCTTACTGTTAATATAGGCTGAATGCAGTCCAATACTCTGCTGTTGCTCTAATGTTCAGAGATATTGACACTACAATTGTTTAAAAGTACGTTGATTATCAGTCACCCAAATCTTAGGCACAAGCTCACAAGCTAAGTGGCTGGCAACCTGGCAGGAGGCTATGTGCCCTGCAGGCCTTACTGAGGGAATATAGATACCTGATCTCTCTAACACCTATTACTATTTTAAAAAAAGCTCTATACTGAGGCTCAAAATATATTTCCTTCATTTCATCCAGTCCTTAATTTACATGTATTAGTATGTAGTAGCAGTAGCAGCATGAGAGCTAAATATGACCATAAATATGCTGTGTAATATTCATGAGTTGTTGAGTTGTATATCTCTTGGCAAATAAAACAGCACACTCTCCATCTTGTGTGTATGAACAGTTTCATATTTATTCAAAAGACATTCTGGATGTACAGCAATAATAACAAATGTAAGAATCAGAAGGGGACCTTCCCAGTGCTTCGTTTTCCACATGTTAACGGTAGTGACAACATGTGACTGGCATCATGTGTGTTCCTTGTCCTCATGCTCACAGCTCAGACTTCAGGAGCTTCTTAGCCTTTTCCATGTTACTCTTCACTGAGGGAGAGGCAGGAAACATTTACATTGAATCAGTCTGTGTTTCATGGGCACAAACAGACACCGCTGGCCAGCCTCAGAGTTAGCAGTAGCACTTACAGAGTTTGATGTCCGCAGGTTCGTAGGCATACATGCGGTTGGAGTAGCGACCCACGATGTCGGCCCTCACCGTCATTGCAGGATCTGTAAGGACATTATTGCTACTGGCTGAGCAGGACTTTTGCTTGTATCAAAGGTATCAAAGGTGAAAATGTCTTCTCACACATTTGCAGCTAATGCCTTGTATGAAAAGTGAATCTTTCAGTCTGTAGAACTAGTTAGACAGGATTTGTTAACAGGAAACATCGTGTTACAAGATATCTCTTACCAACAAAAATGATTCTGGGGACATACTGTCCATCAGGAGACAGATGTTTGTCTGTGGTTTCATACTGTAGGGGAGAGAAGGAATAACAGCTCACAAACATACTGAACCATGCCATCTCACAGCATCGGACCTAAAGTATTACTATGAGCAATGGGGTCCAACAGTTATTAGTTATTATTTGACATGACAGATTCCAGTATTTTGTGGTGCGAGCTCAGATTGAAAACAGTGACAAATCTCTATGCACCAATCCTAGTTTAGCTATATGAAAATGACAATAGGGGGACAGTTCATGTTGACTATTAAAGAATATTTAAGCTAAACCTTTACTTTAATCATTGCTAGTTTAATGGTGAACACTACACTACTAATCTAATGGTAAGTTAGTACTTACCATTAGATTGAGGACGATGAAGTCCTCGTCAAGCATTCTCTGGATCATGTTGTCCTCAGATAAACCCTTCTTGAGTTCTGCAGGAGAAACCGGATTTTAATTCAACAACTCAGTCCAGGCAGCTCATGAGGTCGGTGCAGAAGAGCACCAGGATGTCACGTCACATGTGCAAACAAATGACTGCTTGCCCTTCCAACAGGTTTGGCAAGTTTGGTACATTTCTTTCTCTGCATGAACAGAGACCAGGAGTTGGACTTACCCTGGCTGTGTGGACAGTCCTCAAGGTGAAAGAGGACCATCAGAGGCTTGTTTCTAAAACACAAATCAGCTTCATTTACAGTACATTTAATCATCAACTTCGATGAAAGTCAGTGTCAGTGCTGGAATTATTTGTTACCTTGACCTGGCCCAGTAGAGAGCCTCCTCATACGTCTGAGCCCAGATCAGCTGATCGCCCCAACCTGGACAGACATGGACATTTCCTCAATATTCATCATACTATACTTTAGTCTCAGCCATTCAGCCTAGAGAGGCAGATAATGCTCACAGACCTCTGGCCAGAGTCTGAGGGATCCTTTTGCCAGATTTAGGGATGTATTTCCCGGAGGTGGAGGACATGGCCACCAGGACCAAGAGGACGGACAACGCCGCTTTGATCATCTTTAAGCTTTACTGGAACATGAGGAGCAGACAAAGGCACAGAGTGAGCAAACAGTGTGATAAATAAAGAAACAGCATCAAAATGACAGAAAAGTAAACTCCCCCTCCCTTTGAGAAGGAACCTCGTCTAGTTCCTATTACAGAACAATCTGCAGCGTTATTCATGATTATTTTATTGAACTGGAAGCCAGTGAAGAGAGAGGACATGACAATCTACACGTGGGTGTAGTTGTTATGTGGTATGCAGTGTTACGTAATTCAATTGCAAAATAAATGTAATTGTAATCAGTAACAGTTACTGAGAAAAAAGTATGTCATTAAATTACAGATACTAATCAAGGACAGTCAGGATGAAATGCTCCATCAACAAGTTATTTCTAGGTTTGTCAGTTATTACAAAATAATAGCACAGTTGGAATTCGAATCATGTTGTTGGATACAGAAATAAAATTGACTTAACTGAAGGTTCAGCATTTGTGGACTGAAGAGAAAGTTAAATGAATTTCCCTCCAGTTCAAATGCAGTAGCACTAGAAGAGCAGTGCTGGCTCTTACCTGTTCCTGAGTGGCCAGGTGAGAATGTAGGTAGACCGCCGCTCCAGGATCTGCTGTGCCTCCACTCTTGTCTGTCCCTATTTAAACACCCGTTTACCTGCGGGCCCGCCCTCTTCCCATCCCTCACCTTCTGCTCCGCCGGAATACCACGGTGATTCATATTGCATTTGATTTACAAACCAAACTCCCTTGAGGAAATTGCTAAAGGTTTCCGTGTATGTTGCCAAATGCATCAAGATGTAAGATAATGAGCATTATAAATTAGGCTAGATTAAACCTTGAAAGCATCACAAGTATCCTATACTTTATACTTATACTATCCCACTTAATATCAATATCATATGTTTTATCATAAGTCTCCTATATTTTGTTCATCTTCTTCCTCTGAAATGTAGAAGTGCTGGTGGAGCGAGAACAATAGGAACCAATTCTAAATGTAGATTCTGACTATATGCGAATGTAGAACACTATTACATGTAGGCTATTCTACCGCTGGACGATAAACTGCGCACTCTTAAATGATCAGATTTCTTCATGGGATTTGGCATTCCGTTCTGCTCACTTGAAAGAACTGCTCGTAGAGACATGCATTCTTTGGCATGTCCTTAACGGGGTTTCATCCCATTGTATAATTCATCTGAAGCAGTTTGGACACTGGTGGATATTTAGTGGTTTTATTCATTCATGTGTGATAGGCGCGGCTGGACGACAA